TCTCTGTGTGTCTGTCTCATATTCATATATATATATATATATAATCTTTTTTTTCTTTTTGTGCTGGTACTTGGGTTTGAACTCAAAGCCTCACATTCTCACTTTAAAAAAAAACAAAAAACAAAACTTGTCTCTGCCACTTGAACCAAACCTCCATTTCTGGCTTTTTTCTGGTTAATTGGAGATAAGAAGCCTTTCTGCCCACGCTGGTGGAACCAAGATCCTCTGATTTCAGCCTCTTAAGTAGTTAGGATTACAGGTGTATGCCACTGGTACCTGGTGGAGTTTATTCTCTTGGTCCAAATCCGTTGGTGCTTGGGATTTCGCTGACATCTATGGGTGGTTGCTGGCTCCTAGCAAGGCCTGCAACCCACTGGCTCAGTGATCCGCTGCAGCCAGGCCATGCTGAACGCCGACACAGGACCATGAATTACAGCCCCTCCCACAGCCCATGGAGAACACAGGGGACAGATTGGGGTGGAAATTCAGTGGCAGTTTTGGAGATTCTGGGTTAGAATCTCATTCCTTCTTCACAGAAACTAAGTAAGCTTATGCATCATTTATGATGCCTGCTTCCACTTGTATAAAAATATGTTAATAAGTTGGGCACTGGAGGATCACACCTATCACCCTACCTACTCAGGAGGCTGAGATTTGAGGATTGGGGTTCAAAGCCAGCGTGGGCAGGAAAGTCCATGAGACTCTTATCTCCAATTAACCACCAGAAAACAGGACGTGGTTTTGTGGCTCAAGTAGTAAAATACTAGCCTTGAGCAAAAGAGCTCAAGGACAGTGCCCAGGCCCTGAGTTCAAGCCCCAGTATTGAACTAACTAAAGAAAAAAGTCCTTCTCTAAAATTGTCTAACAGTTTTTGTTCATCATGTATATATGACATTCTCCTGTTTCTAAGAATCCAAGCTGTATCACCCAGGAGTCTGAATTCTGAGCATCAGAATGTCTTTGAGAATCTTATCTCCAATGAACCACCAAAAAGTCAGAAGTAGAGCTGTGGCTCAAGTGGTAGAGAACTAGCCTTGAGTAAAAAGCTAAGAGACAGTACCTCAGACAGACCCTGAGTTAAAGCTCCAATAATGGTTACTTGTGTGCACACACATAAAACAATTTAATGGCTTTTAGTATTCATTGTGTTGTACAGCTATCACCACAATTTAACTTTAGAAGATTTTTATCACTTTAGTATAAACCCTCTCCTTGATTCCCTTCCCCCCTCCCCAGTCCCAGGCAAACCTGTCATCACTTTGTTTCTATGTGATTGCCTGTTTTTTTTGACATTTCCCATAAACATGGTCATATAATATGTTGCCTTTTTTTTTTTTTTACTCAGTAAGCCATTTACTGGTCTATCTATAGATCAGCTCTTCATCATTTTCATGGTTTTAAAATATTCCAGTGAACAGATATACCAGATTTAAAATTTTATATTTTATTATCTTTATATAGCTGTGCAAAAGAGCTACCAATTCAACAGGGATACATCACATTTGTCTGTATATTCACCAGTTAAAAAATCTGTGTTGGAGGGGAGCATGGCGGAAGTGGGCCTCTGACCAAGAGGCCCTGTATACAGAAGTGGACATGTCAACTTGGAACCTTCTTGTGCAACTCTTTGAAGATAATAAAAAAGTAAATCTGGGGTGTTCCACAACCAGACCGTAAATTATGAACACTCATATACACATTTTTTTTGTGTGTGTGGGGCTTAGCTTTCATTAATCAAGGCTGGCCCTCAGCCACTTAAGCCATACCTCCATTTCCATCTTTTTGGTGGTTAATTGGAGGTGAAAGTCTCATGAATTTTTCTGCCTTGGCTGGTTTCAAACAACAATCCTTGGGCGGGAGGGGGAGGGAGGAGAGGATGGGAAAGGATGGGAAGGGGAAACAAAGGAGGAGGCTACAATGCTTGATAAGAAATGTACTCATTATCTTGCCTATGTAATTGTAACCCCTCTGTACAGTATTTTCACAATAAAAAAATAAAAATTAAAAAAAAAACAATCCTCAGATCTCAGCCTCCTGAGTAAGCTAGGATTACAGATATAAGCCATTGGTGTCTTGCTTCATTTATACATTTTTGTGTAAACTTGCATTTTATTTTCTTAGGAACAGACATCAAAGTGGAATTACTTACTAGGTCATATGGTTAACTCTATATTTAACTTTTTGTGGAACTGCCAAGTTATTTTTCCAAAATTCTGCTTTATTTTCCGTTCTCATGGCTATGAGTGTTTTTCTTCTCTACATCCTTCCCAATCTTTGTATATCCCTTTTTTTTTTTTTTTTGTCAGTCAAGGGGCTTGAACTCAGGAGGGCCTGGGCGCTGTCCCTGAGCTCTATTGCTCACAGCTAGTGGCTCTATCACTTGAGCCACAGCTCTGCTTCCAGTTTTCTGGTGGTTTGTTGGGTATAAAGAGTCTCATGGGGTCTGGGAAGGTAGCTCAGTGGTAGAGCGCTTGCCTTGCATGCATGAGGCCCTGGGTTCAATTCCTCAGCACCACATAAGCAAAAAGACAAAAAGCCGGAAGTGGCGCTGCGGCTCAAGTGGTAGAGTGCTAGCCTTGAGCTGAAGAGCTGAGGGACAGCACCCAGGCCCAGAGTTCAGGCCCCACAACTGGACTCCAAAAAAAAAAAAAGAGTCTCATGGACTTTCCTGTCTGGACTTTGAATTACGGTCCTCAGATCTCAGCCTCCTGAGTAGCTAGGATTACAAGAGTGAGCCACCAGTCCTCCAACTGCTTTCTTCCAGGTTTTGTTTTCATTTCTCCAGTACCTAATGATGCTGAAGATCTGGTCATGTGCTTTCATGTGCTTCACATGACGGTGGAGGAATGTCTAAAATCCTGGGCCCACTTGAGAACTGGATCCTCTGTCTCTTCATTGCTGAATTGTAGGGTTCTTTCACATATTCTGCACACAAGTACCTTGTCAGACACACAGTTTACAACGAGCTTCTCCCATTCTATAACTTGTCTTTTTTTTGATACACAATTTTTTTTTTTTACTTAGAGGTGCTATTTACTCCCCCCCTTTTTTTTCTGATCCTGGGGCTTGAACTCAGGGCCAGGGTGCTGTCCCTGAGCCTCTTTGTGCTCAAGGCTAGCACTTTACCACTTGAGTCACAGTGCTACTGCTGGCTTTTTTCTGAGTAATTTAATGGAGATAAGAGTCTTACAAACTTTTCTGCCCAGGCTGGCTTTGAACTGTAATCCTTAGATCACAGCCTCCTGAGTAGTTAGGCAAATGCCACCAGCACCCAGTTTATCATTTTTTTTTTGCTCTGTGTGTGTGTGTGTGTGTGTGTGTGTGTACATATGTGTGTGATTGCCTGAGCTAAGGTGATGGAAATTTATGCCTGTTTTCTTCCAAAGGTTTTATTGCTTCATAGTCAGGCCTTTGATCTGTTTTGAGCTTGTGTGTGCAGGTGCATGCATGCGTGCCTTCATGCACGCCAATCTGGAGCTTGAATCTGGGGACTTGCCCTCTCGCTTGGTGCTCCCACTCAAGGCTAACACTCTACCACTTGCACACTTACACTTCTGGCTTTTTCCTGGTTAACTGGGGATAATCTTTTGAATTTGTCAGCCTGGTCTGGTTTCAAACTGTAATCCACAGAGCTGAGCCTCCTGAGTAGCTAAGGTTACAGGTGTGAACTATGGGGTGTTGGCTGCCTTTGTTCACCAGCATAATGTAGGCAATTTTTATTTAAAATGCGGGACTATATAAAAATTTCCCAGCACCATCTATGAAAAACATTTTCATGTTTGCCCCAGTGACAGGAAATGGCTTCTTGATCAAATTTCCATATAATTTAGGGCTTATTCCCGTTCCACTCGCTCCTCTGTGAATTCAAGCACCAACAACACATGGTTCCAAGCACAGACACTTCAGGGTGTGTTAGTGTGTCTGTTAGTCTCAGTCCCTACTTGGTCTTTTTTTTTTTTTTTTTTACTGTTTGTCTACTTATTCCTCAATGCTTGTTTACTCCCCCCTCCAAAAATAAATGCCCACCAACTAATGAAAAGTTCATTATTAACACAAAAGTCACATCAAATTGCACAACTGTATTATTTATTTTTAGTGGGACTGGAGTTTGAACTCAGGATCTCATGCTTGCAAGGCAGGAGCTAAATTACAATACTGTGACAGGATTACTGAGGGGTCACACGGGGGAGGGGAGACTGATACCCAGGAGTGTCTCTCTACAGCTGTTCCCTGCCTTGAGTTTCCAAGTGAAATGTCCTGCCTGGTGCCTCTGTGTTCTCATCCCTGCGAAGAGCTTCTGAAACAGGAACAAGGTCCCATAATTCTACGGCGCTGGTTCTGCGGGACCCTGAGCCAGACACTAGCGATCAGGACAACTTTCTTTGGGCTTGGTGGTAGTGGGCGTGGGGCTTGAACTCAGGGCCTAGGCGCCATCCTGAGCTCTGTCACTCAAGGCTAGCGTTCTACCACTTTGAGCCACAGCTCCACTTCTGCTTTTCTGGTGGTTCATTGGAGATAAGAGTCTCAGGGACTTTCCTGCCTGGACTGGCTTTGAACCGCGATCCTCAGAGCTCAGCCTCCTGAGGCTAGGATGTCCCGCGCCAGCTCTCACTTTGAATCTTAAGTCTCCCAGAGGTGAGAGGCATCCTGCTCCGGGACCGGCCAGCCTCTGGCTGCCCAATGACCTGTCCAGTCCATTGGCCGCGAGCCCCCAGCAGAAGACAGGATGCCGGGCGATCGCGAGCCTCACCCCGGCAGGCCCACAGGTCCTTCCTTCGCGTTAAGCAACGTGGGGGTGGAGCTCTACGAGGGGCGGAGCCATATGAGGAGGTCGGGCTAGGCTAGGGGCGAATCTAGGAACTAGATTCGGGCAGAGCCAATCAGAGGAGCAAAACTAGACTAGAGGCGGAGCCAGGTGTGGGGGCGGGCCCAGGGGCCGTCACGGCCACCGGCACTAGGGGCTCTCGGGAGGGGCGTGGCTAGGGGCGTGGCCACCTGCAACCCGGAAGGGGGGGCGCGCCCCGAGGCCCGCTCCCTGGCCGGCCAGTGGGTCCAGCTGGGAGCGGCCAGGTGTGGGCTCCCTTCAGCGCGAGATGGCGGCGGCGGCGGTGAGCGGAGCCAAGCGGAGCCTGCGGGCGGAACTGAAGCAGCGACTACGAGCCTTGAGCGCCGAGGAGCGGCTGCGCCAGTCCCGCCTCCTGACTCAGAAGGTGCGCGCGCCGCGGCGGAAGGGCTCCTAGAGGGTGGCGGGCCGGAGGACGCGGAGCGGCGCACGTCTCCCCCGAGGGCGCGCGCGTCACCCTGGCGCGCTTACGTCCTCTCGGGCTAGCGTTCCCACAGGCGGGGGTGAGGGGTGCGGCGCCCCGTGGCCCGGGGGCGGTCGGCGCGAATGCGTTCGTTTAAGAGAAGTTATGGTCGTCGTTGTTATTGATGACGATCAGGCACCGCCGGGTGCTGCAGTAGGGGTCGAACGTAGTATATGCCTTAGAGCATGAAGCTCTGCCCTCGCTCCGGTGTGTGTAAATGTGGCTCTGGGTGAGGGCGGCCCGTGGTGCCCGCGTTCAAATCTCAGAACCGCCAGTAAAAGCAAACGCGGGATGAAAACGAACAGGGACGTGCCGTTATCCGCAGTCCGGATGTGGATGAGGACGGCCGCGGTCCCCACTGCGGGGAGCCGGGGATGAGGGGCGGGTCCGGGGCGGCCGGGGCCTGGCGGACGGGAGCGTGCGCATGCGCGTGTGGCCGGTGGGGGGGGGGGGGTCGTGAGCGTTGTCCGCGAGTTCTTTCACTCAAGGCAGGCGCTCAACCCACTTGAGCCGCAGTTCCACTTCTGGCTTTTTCCGTGATTAAATTGGACCTGAGTCTCCGGACTTTCTTGCCCTGGGTTGGCTTTGAACCGCTGCCCTCAGATCTCAGCCTCCCGAGTAGCTGGAGGACCCACTCTGCACCAAAACGGTCTTCCCGCGCCTCCTGCTGCCCCCTCACCCGAGGCCTGGCCGGTGAAGGCCTGGCGTGCTGAGGGCGGGACTGCGAGGAAGAGGGTAATCCGGTGTTTTGGTGGATTTGGATCGGGTTCTGGATGGAGCCCATGGCAGGAGCAAGCAGGAGACTGCGGGGGACCGGGGTAGGGGTGGGAGGGGGGTTCAGCGGAACGCCCCGGGACGGAGGAGGGCCCTGCTCGTGATTCACACATTTAGAGCTTCGGATCGTGCGTGCGTGCACGCGTGTGGTGCACGTGTGCCCTCTCTGGGGCATGAACTCAAGGCCTCACTTTGCTTGGCTTTTTCCGCTTGTGGCCCGCACTGCTCTACCACTTGCGCCACACCTCCACGTCTGGCTTTTGGCCAGTTGATGAGGTGAGTCACTGACATTTCCTCCTGGGGCTGGCTTTGAACAGTGACCTTTAGCTCTGGGCCTCTTGAGTAGCTAGGATTGTGGGCCTAAGCCGCCAGCCCCGGGCCTAAGCATAAAGAAATGTAGGAGCCAGGCTGGTAGCTCACGGCTGTCATCTCAGCTATTCAGGAGGCTGAGATCTGAGGATCGAGGTTCAAAGCCAGCCGAGGCAGGAAAGTCCTTTATCTCTTATCTCAGTGAACCACCGAACAACCAGAAGTGGTACCGTGGCTCAAGTGGTAGAGCACTCGTCTTGAGCTAGAGAGCTCAGTGCCCAGGACCAGAGTTCAAGCCCCACAACTGATAGGAAAGAGAGGGAGAGGGAGAAGAAGAAGGCGAGGGAGAGAGAGAGACAGACAGACACAGATTTAGTTTTTTTTGGTTGGTTGTGGGGCTTGAACTCTGGGCCTGGGCACTGTCCCTCAGCTCTTCAGCTCAAGGCTACTGCTCTACCACTTGAGCCACAGTGCCACTGCTGACTTTTTCTATTTATGTGGTGCTGAGGAATCGAACCCAGGGTTTCAAGCACTCTACCACTGAGCCACCTTCCCAGCCCCTCAGTTTGGTTCTTGCCCATAAGATTTTTGATTTTAATTTCTTTTGAGAGGAGTTGATCACCTCTGAGACTCTCAAGCTGGGCTCATGTGGTCTCCAGTCAGAATCCAAGCAGTGGCCATAGTAGATTCCACTACAGAAAATTGAATGGGAATATTAGCTAGACAGTAGCAGCACTGCCAGTGGTAGAATGACAGCTGATGTAAAAGAAGGTAAATTAGAAAACAGACTCATGACTCACGGAGAGGATGAGCACACCAGCAAATGCAGCCCCACAGGGAGACGCCTTTAGTCTCCATATTTTATCTAAAAGTCCTCACTGGCCTTCACCACCCATTTCCTGACCAATGAGTGCAGTGTATCCCCAAACACCAGTGCACCATGATCAGCAGTGTTCAGTAGTGTGTTTTTGTTTTTCTAAACCATTAAATTATCCTTATTGGCCTCTTTGTTTTCAATCTAATTTAAAATTTTATCAGAAAATATGTGGTGAAGAAATTCTACCGTACACCCTTATCTTGGCTCCCCAGATAATTAAGGGGAGAGAATTAGTGGCTATTTGTCTCCACTCTCTCAATTGAGATATCAAACTTGACATTATTAAATTGTCAAGTTTCATATTTAAACTCTCTTCCATAAGTATTAATCTATTGTAATTCTAGCTCATTTCCAAACTTGAAATTCCAGTAGGTATTTACTACCATGTTTCTTAGCCTTTTTTCTTGTCTTTTTTTTTTTTTTTTTTCCTTCTGGTCCTGGGGCTTGAACTCAGGGCCTGGGTTCTGTCCCTGAGCTTCTTTTGCTCAAGGCTAGCATTCTACCCCCTAAGCCATAGCACCATTTCTGGCTTTTTCTGTTTATGTGGTACTGAGGAATTGAATCTAGGACTTCTTGTATGTTAGGCAAGCACTCTACCATTTATCCACATTCCCAGCCTCCAAAACTTTTAATTTATTTAATTTATTTTAGTTTCTCGAAATATTCCTTAAATTGTGATGGTTGCCTTCCTATAGCTGTCTGTCTAGGTGTGTGTGTGTGTGTGTGTGTGTGTGTTTAGAAGCATTATGTGATATGATAAATTTTGTTTATTGCTTTCAAGTTTACTGAATTTTTGCTTACTTAAATTTTGTTTGTGTGGTACCAAGGAATTGAACCCAGGGCCTGGTGCATTCTAGGCAAACACTCTGCCACTAAGCCTCATCCCAGCCTTGATGTTTTATAGGTTCAATTTTCTTTCTGAGTTTGTCTGAGAGGCTAATTTCAAGAAACTTCAGTTCTCTGAATTATCTGTCTTCTCCTGGCTCATTTTCTGCTCTTTTAGATGAATTTATGAAATCCTTCTATTTTATACTTTGACTTTCCAGAAAAATTGGTGATGCTTGATTTTCTGTAGGTATTTGTGAATAAACGTGTGTTCACCAAGCAGCATCTCCTGCTTTCTTGTCTCTGTGATAAGGATGCTGAGGGAGGAATGGATTCGGCCTGCCCTGTACCTGGCTTTCACAGCGTTAGCATCTGCTGTTTTGTCTATAAATACCTCACATCTTACAGGACATAGGCAGATCTCTCCTCTTGTTCTCATTACTATAGTGGGTTTTCTTTTTTGGGACCACTTTACAAATGTTGTGTAACAGTGGACCAGAGGAAGGAACCGTAAGTGCTGTTTCTTACTGCTTATTCAGCGCTTGGCTTTCTTTATCCTGCTTTAATGAAAAACAGAGCAGGTGGCAGCCGCAGTGTACCAGAGGCCGGAGGGTCACACAGGAAGGAAGGCTTGGGGGCTTGCACTAAAAGTCAGGCACCTGCGCTTAGCACTGTCTTACCACGTGGCTCTTTGCTTCTGGAAAGTTAGGGAGGCTGGAGAAGGTTGAGGGGGTTAAGAGAGAGGGGGGAAATTGCTAGTGTTTAAAAGAATAATCGGGGACATTGTCCAAAAAGAAATGTACTGGGCTGGGAAGGTGGCTCAGTGGTAGAGCGCTTGCCAAAAAGAAATGTACTGTCAGCAAGGTGCTGGTGGCTCATGCCTGTCATCCTAGTGACTCAGAAGGCTGAGATCTGAGGATTGTGGTTCAAAGCCAGCCCAGGTAGGAAAGTCCATGAGACTCATCTCCAATAAACCATCAGAAAACCAGAAGTGGTGCTGTGGCTCAAGTGGTAGAGTGCTAGCAAAAGAGCTCAGGGACAGTGCCCAGACCCTGAGTTCAAGTCCCACAATCGACAAAAAAAAAAAAAAAAAAAAAGAACTATACTCTTTACCTGATTTATATAACTGTAACCTCTCTGTATATCACCTTTATAATAACAATAAAAAATTCAAAAAAGGAAAAATTTGGTTGTATATTTACTATTTAAAAAAGGAAATCAGAAAAAAAAAAAAATCAGTGGGGAATGATGACTCATGCCTGAAATCCCAGCTGTTGAGGTCTCTGAGATCTGAAGATCACAGAAGCCATTCCAGACAGGGAAATCCAAGAGACTCTTATTTACAATCAACCAGCAAAAAGCCATACTGGAGGTATAGCCATATATGTGCTCCTTTTAATATTGATTATTTTTAATTTTTCTGTTGAATCATCTGTCCATTTATCCTACCTGAAAGTTGGGACGGTTCTCTGGAGAGCTCAGGAAAGTTTGAGCTTTAGTTGAATTATGAGAGGAGAAACTTTGGATAATGCAAAGACTGGAGAAACATACATAATAGTATATGTTTGTTTATATATAATTATTAATGATAGTTATGATGCATGTTATATAGAACATATTGTATGTAATATTGAAAAGAAATCATATTCTAGATTAATGATATATATACTATCATATATTATACATATTCTTTTTTTGCAACTCTATATAAAATATATAGCAGCATAATATACTATATAGTATATATAATATAGTACATATAACAATATATACAATAGTATATCTAATATATATAACATATATAGTATAGTAATATATATCATACATACATAATATATGTATAAAAAAACAGTATATATAATATATAATATATATAACATACAATATATAATATAGGTATAAATAAATAGATATGATTAATTGATATAAACATGTATTTAAACAAAAATATACTATATACTGTATGTTATATATAATAGATATGAGACTATATGAAATATGCTGTATAATATATCCTATGCATGTATGACCTTGCACACTGTAACAGGTGGTCATTTCCTGTCAGGTGATGGCCCACAGCCGGTACCAGCGTTCCCAGAGGGTCTCCATCTTTCTGAGCATGCAGGATGAGGTGGACACGGAAGAGATCATCCGGGACATTTTTCGACAAGGCAAAACCTGCTTCATTCCCCGCTACCAGTACCAGAGCAACCACATGGACATGGTGAGACTGGCATCACCTGAAGAAATTCCTTTACTTCCCAAAACCTCGTGGAACATCGCGCAGCCTGCTGCTGGTGAGGCGCGGGAGGAGGCCCTGTCCTCGGGTGAGTGTCTCAGTCTCAGGACCAATGTCTTATCATGAGGTCACACTGTGGTGAGGGTGTGTGTGTGTGTGTGTGTGTGTGTGTGTGTGTGTGTGTGTGTGTGTGTGTGTGTGTGTGTGTGTGTGTGTGTGTGTGTGCGTGCTCTCCTGGAACTTGAATTCAGGGCCTGGGTGCTGTCCCTGAGCTTTTATGCTCAAGGCTAGTGCTCTACCACTTGAGCCACAGTTCCACTTCTGGCTTTTTGCTGGCTATTTGGAGATAAGAGTTTCGTAGCCTTTTCCTGCCTGGGCTGGCTTCGAATCTTGATCCTCAGATCTCAGCCTCCAGAGTGGCTGGGATGGCAGGCGTGCATACCAGCACACGGCTTGCAATGAGGTATTAGTGCTCTATCATCTGTTTCCTGGGACAGAGGGAACTGTTTTACCCACAGAGATGAATCTGTTTCACCTGTGTTCTAAGATCTCCACAGTGCCTGGGGTACAAGAACTTTCTGTGAGCTGAGGAGAGCCAATGATTGTGGGACACCACAGCACTGCTGTGGAGAAATGCAGGAGGGGGAGCTCTTTATTTGCACCAATGCTGGGGCTGGAAGTCAGGGCCTTGTATACATTCTCCCTTGGCTTTTTCGCTTGTGTCTGACCCTCTACCACTTGATCCACACCTTCTCTACCAGTATTTTGCTGCTTCATTGGAGAGAAGAGTCTCCAGGGGCTGGCTTTGAACCACCATTCTCAGTTCTCAGCCTCTTGAGTAGTTAGGATTACAGGTAGTAGCTACTATGCCCCGCTTGCATCAGACATTTGCATGGACTCTGTGTCATGGACCATTTTAGCTTTGAAACCAGGAAGGCATGGAGACACTCACTGCAGCGGAGGAGCCAGGAATCATGTGTTAACAGATACTCTCCCAACATGTGCTGCATGGCAGGTACAAGTATCAAGGGAGAAATACTGAATATTGAAAATACACAAGTCCAGGGATTGGTCCTGACTAGAAAAGATCCAATCCCTCCCCCCCCAGAAAAACCAGTTGTTTATTTTCTCCCCCTTTGAAGCATTTCTTTTGTGCCATCTTTGTGGTACCAGTGGCTCACCCCTACCCCATTCTTTTTTCTCACACATACTTGCGGTCTGTTCGCAGTGGGTTGGGAGGTGATGGGCAATGCTGTATTTCTTGTAAGTGAGTTGTTTTTAGAAGAATTTGAGTCAGCAGTGCCTGCTGTTTCCTGTCTGCACAGCTCACACTCTGTACTGTGGGTTGTTGTGTGTGTGTGTGTGTGTGTGTGTGTGTGTGTGTGTGTGTGTGTGTGTGTGTGCTTGGACCCAGGCCTTGAACTCTGGGCCTGGGCACTGTCCTTCAGCTCTTCAGCTCAAGGCCAACGCTTTACCACTTGAGCCACAGTACCACTTCCAGTTTTCTGGTGGTTCATGGGAGATAAGAGTCTCAGGGACTTTCCTGCCCAGGCTGGCTTTGAACCACCATCCTCAGGTCTCAGCCTCCCAGTTGCTGGGATTACAGGTGTGAGCCACCAATGCCTAGTAGAACTTGGTTCTTTACTGAATTTATCTTCAGCAAGAGGGCCGCTTGGGTGATTGGACTCCTCAGGGATTTCCCCATGGAGATGATAAAATTCGATTCAAATAGAATTTTATCAGCCTAAAAGAAGAAGAATCGGAGGAGCTGGAGATGTGCCCCACTTCCTAAAGCTGGAAGCCAAGTGGCTGGCTTCTGACTGCTTTCCTCTGTCATGGCTCACATGGGGCAGCCCTGCCCTCCACAGCAGCCCCAGCAGGGAAGGGCAAGTCTATTTTGGTGTCAGTCTTGAGGTTTGATCTCTGGACCTGGGCTTTGTCTCTGAGCTTTTCCTTTGCTTAAGCCTGGTGCTCTACCACTTGAGCCACAGCTCTACTTCTGGCTTCTTGGTCGTTAATGGAGATAAGAGTCTCATGGATTATTCTGCAAGGCTGGCTTTGAACCACGTTCTTCACATCTCAGCCTTTTGAGTAGCTATGATGATAGGTGTGAGCCTCTGGGGCCTGGCTTCCGTGCCCTGCCCTGTCCTTCCCTCCCTTCCCCTCTTTCCTAATTTGTCATTAGCTACTTCCATTTTTTTAAAAAAAAGTATTACTAGTGTTTGATGCTTTGTTGGCTCAAGAGATATTTAACAATATTAAAAAAAATTACTGCTGGGGGCTGTGAAGTTGGCTCAGTGGTAGAGCACTTGCCTCGCATGCATGAGGCCCTGGGTTTGATTCCTTAACACCACATATGCAGAAAAAAAAAAAAGCCAGAAGTGGCACTGTGGTTTAAGTGGTAGGGCATTAACCTTGAGCTGAGCTGAAGAGCTGAGGGACAGCACCCGGGCCCAGAGTTCAGCCCCCACAACCGACCAAAAAAAAAAAAAAATTACTGCTGGGCACTGGTGGCTTATGCCTGTAGTCCTAGCTACTCTGGAGGCTGAGATCTGAGGATCAAGGTTCAAAATCAGACTGGGCAGGAAAACCCATGAGACTCTTATCTCCAATTAAATTACAGAAAAAGCTAGAAGTGGTGCTGTGGCTCAAGTGGTAGAGCACTAGCCTTGAGCAAAAGCAACTTAGGGATAGTGCCTACGCCCTGAGTTTGAGCACCAGGACTGGCAAAAAAAAAAAAAAAAAAAAGAAAGAAAAAGGAAAAAGAAATCACTAAAATGTTTATTTTATTTTAGTATAAAGATGCTGTACAGAGGGATTACAATTACATGAGTAGGGTAATGAGTACATTTCTTGTGGAGCATTGTTACCTCTCCTTTGTTTTTCTCCCACTATCCCTTCCCTCCCCCCCCCCCAAGTTGTATAGTTTATTTCCAACCTAGTGTGTCTTGTAGGTATCATTGTTGGAATGGGTCATTCTGTGTCCTTATTTCAACATTTTGTTATTCCTCTTCCCTTTCCCAAATAAGATAAAAGCTTATACCAGATGCAGGGTACTGAAATCAAATACAGTGACAACAGGGGATATACCATAGGGGGGAGGACATACATACAAAAGAAAGAAAAGAAAATCACATAGATATTAAAAACAACACAACAAAGAAGACCTCTTGTGTCCATATCTTGGGGTTCATTTCACTTAGCATCAACTTATATGGTCATATGTACGTAGCTTTTGAGCTTTTCTGCTCATCTGATAAGATTATCCTAGACTTATACTAATTATTGTATTATAAGGGAAACCATGGGACCTGTATTTCTTTTTGTCTGGCTTACTTCACTTAATATGATTTTTTCTAAGTCTTTCCATTTCCTAACAAATAGGGCAGTATCATTCTTTCTGATAGAGGCATAGAATTCATATATATATATATATATATATGTATATATATATATATATATCAATTACATTTTCTTGATCCATTAATCCACTGAGGGGCATCTGGGTTGGTTCCATATCTTAGCTATGGTGCATAATGCTGCAATAAACATAGCTGTGCTGATAGCTTTAGTGTGGCCTTCTTTATGATCATTTGGGTAAATGCCCAAAAGAGGGATTGCTGGGTCATAGGAGAGCTCTATGTGGAGTCTTTTGAGGAACCTCCATACTTCTTTCCAGAGTGGTTGAACAAGTTTACACTCTCACCAACAATGCAGTAGGGCTCCCTTTTGGCCACATCCCCTCAAGCATCCGTTGTTATTAGATCTCTTGATTATAGCCATTCTAACTGGGGTGAGGTAGAAAATGTTTGTGACCACTTTCTTTTCTGTGGTCTTGGCATTGATCACTTTGGGAATTTATTAAATCTTCCCTGTGAGAGATGGGGGAGAATGACTGACAGGTGACGTTGATCAAGATGCTTTTTGCTCAGAAATTGGCATTTTGAATTGAAACCCCTTTGTACAACTACTTAAGGATAATTTAAAACAGTTTAAACTTGTCTTGGTAGGCTAGTACATTTAGGTTATCACAGTTTAGAATTACAAGAAATAGACATCCTGTGACATAGAAGCTTGAACAGGGAAGGAGATTATTGTTTTCAGGTGAGGGAATTTAAGTGCTGCTGATTCCTGGCCCTCCATCTCAAGGACACCAGTAGCGTGGTCTATGCAGACTTCCCAGCCTTACTGTCCTAGCTGAAAAACGGGTGCTGTGGATCCAGCCATCAGGCCTACAGTACACAAGGGGAGAAGGAATGGATGGATGGCGGTGATTGAACACCCCGTGTTCTCACTTTAAGACGCTTTTCCAGAGCAGGATGTGGTAGCTCACCTCTGTAATCCCAGCTACCGAGGAGGCAGAGACCAGGAAGACTATAGTTCAAGGCCAGTGTGGAGGAAAAGTTGGCAAGCTACCAACTTCTAAGTCTGTTGTGGTATGATTCTGTGATCGCAGCCACATGGGAGACTGTGGGTAGGAGGATTGCTGTCTGAGGCTGTTCCTGGGCAAAAACAGGAGACTCTTGGAAGAGTAATGGAAGTGTAAAGAGCTGAGGATATTGGCTTAACTGGTAGAGCACCTGCCTAGCAAGTATGAAACCCAGAGTTCAAATCCCAGTGCTGCTCTTCCTTACCGGGGTTTGGTTTGGGCCGTGTGGTGAATCTTGGCCTCAGGGAATGTGAGGATAGCACATGTTGTTAAATGGTTTCATCAAAACCAAACTGGAGCCAGGTGCGGTGGCTTACGTCTGTCATGTCAGGAGGCTGAGAGCTGAGGATTTCCATCGACAGCCAATCCAGGCAGGAAAGTCCATAAGACTCTTCCAGTTAACCACCAAAAAGCTGGAAGGAGAGCTGTGGCTCAAGTGGTAGAGTGCCAGTTTTGAGCAAAAATGCTCAGGGACACTACCCAGGTTCTAAGTTCAAGTCCAGGACCAAAAAAAAAAAAAAGCTAAGATTACAGATGTGAGTCATAGTGCCCCACTCTAGAATATAATATGGTATTGTATTATGTGCCATCTAATTGTTACATTTAATTGTGGATTTTTATTTATTTATTTGTGTATGTGTATATTTTTGAATTACTGTGAATACTAAAGATGCATATAAGCCCTTTCAGGAATTATTTTCTTGATTTTTTTTTTTTTTAATAATGTCAACTTTTGGATCTCAGCCTCCTGAATAGCGGGGATTACAGGCCTGAGCCACCAGAGCAATCCTATAGGCAATGGTCTAGTGATTCTGTGTTTATACACTTTCTTTCATGTTATGCTAGATTGATGTATTTTGATTAATTTCCTCTGTCAGATGGAATATTCCTTAAAGTAATTTTCCAGTATGGTCTATGTGTGACATATTTAGAATGCTTTCATTTTTGCTTTGTTGGTGTACTTCATTGTGTGTGTGTATGTGTGTGTGTGTGTGTGAGAGAGAGAGAGAGAGAGAGAGAGAGAGAGAGAGAACTCAGGGCCTGAGTGCTTTCACATAGCATTTTCACTCAAGGCTGATGCTCTACTACTTGAATCACAGCTCCATGTCTGGCTTTTTGCTGGTTAATTGGTAGTAAGTGTCTCAAGGGCTTTTCTGGCCCAGTTGGCTTTGAACTGTGATCCTCAGATCACAGCCTCCTGAGTAGCAAGGATATCAGGCGTGAGCCACCAGTGCCAGCTTGTTTGCATTCTTGATGATGATGAGTCTAAGTGGGGTGAGGTGGAATCTCAGTGTTGCTTTGATTTCCATTTCCTTTATGGTCAGAGATGTGGAGCAGTTTTTTTCGTGTGTCTGTTGACCATTTCTACTTTGGAGAAGTTTCTCACTCCTTTACCAATGTACTAATTGGATCATTGTTTCTTTGGGGGTTTAATTTTTCAAGCCCCTGTTTATTTTTGGTTATTCAATCTTGTCAGGTGTTTAGCTAGCAGATTCCCACCCCCCCTCCCTGCACGGGCCCAGGCTGCCTTCTTAGCTTAGTGACTGTGCTCTTCATGGTATGGAAAGTTTTTAGCTTGATGCAGTCCCATTTGTCAACTCTCTGTGATTTGTTGAGCCCTTGGAACTTTACTTAGAAAGTTCCTGCCTGGGCCGACAAGTTCTGTTTTTCCTGCTCCTTGTGATGTTATGGTTTCCAGTCTTACAGCAAAGTCTTTGATTCATTTTGAATTGTTACTAGTATGGGGTGAAGATAGGGATCAAGGTTCAGTTATTTATTTATTTTTCTGCTGGTATTAGGGCTTGAACTCAGGGACCTGGTGTTGTCTATGAGCTTTTTCATTCAAAACCAGCTCTCTACCACTTGAGCCACAGCTCTAGTTCTGGCCTTTTTGATAGTTAATTGGGGATAAGAGTCTCACAGACTTTCCTACCTGGACTTTGAACCGTGATCCTTGGATCTTGAGCAGCTAGGATAACAGGTGTGAGCCCCCAGTACCTAGCCCAGTTTGAGTTTCTGTATGTGGATTTCCAGGTTTCCCAGCATCATTTATTAAAGAGGCCTTTTCTTTTTCCTTCTTATGTGTTTGGCTCCTTTATCAAATATTGGATGGCTGTAGGTCTGTGCGTTTATTTTTGAGTCTCCTAGTCAATTCCATTGGTTGTTGGAGCCTATTTTTGTGCCAGTACCAAGCTGTGATTGTTACTCTAGCTAGGTAGTAAATCTGGAATTCAGAATTGTGGTCCAGCACTATCTTCCTCTCCAGGATTGCTTTTGCTATTCAGGGCCTTTTGTGGTTCCTTATGAATTCTAGAATTGAGTTCTCTGTCTGCGAAAAATGTCATTGAGAGTTTGATGGATATTGAAGAATTAATCACAAACATTCCATTATATTTTGCTATAATTTCCTTTCCATTTTCTAAAATTGTTATGACAAAAATGTCATCATTATAGAATTTAAGATCTATAGGCTTTTATGCTTATCAACTTCTTGAAATGGTTTCATGTAAAATGCGATGCTGTGTCTCTTTTAATATTTAGAATTATTCCTCTATTAGGGAAAATCATAAACCCAAAGTTCCCAGCTTCTTAGGTATATGGGAACCGTTAAAAGACTTGGAGTGTAGCCAGGTGCCTGTGGTTCATGCCTGTCATCCTAGCTACTTAGGAGGCTGAGTGCTGAGGATCATGGTTTGAAGCCAGCCTGAGCAGGAAAGGCTGTGAGACTCTTTTTTTTTTTTTTGGTGGATCATTTTTCTTTCAATTTATTGATTTTTTTTTGTTGTTTCATTTGTTTTTTGGTTTTTTTTTTATTGTGAAAATATTGTACAGAGGGGTTACAATTACATGGGCAAGATAATGAGTACATTTCTTATCAAGCATTGTAGCCTCCTTTGTTTCCCCTTCCCATCCCTTCCCATCCTCCCCCCGCCCCCCCATCCTCCCTGCTTCCTCCCCCCCCTCCCCCCCCCCCCGCACCAAAGTTGTAAAGTTTGTTTTCTTTTTTTTTTTAATTTTTATTTTTTGTGAACATACTGTACAGAGGGGTTACAATTACATGGGCAAGATAATGAGTACATTTCTTATCAAGCATTGCAGTCTCCTCCTTTGTTTACCCTTCATATCCCTTCCCAGCCTCCCCCCCGCCCCCCCACCCATTCCCCCCCCACCACAAAGTTGTAAAGTTCGTTTTCCACATGACAACTTGTACTTCTCATAGTTGCAACAGGTCCACCTGTATCCTTAAACGACTTGTTTTTCCCCATCTCCTCCACAAATTATACCGACATCAAATATAGTGAAAGCAGGGGTTATACTGTGGGGGAGGGACAAAGCAACAAAGAAATAAGCTTATAAATGCGTTAGAAGCCGGGCGCTGGTGGCTCACGCCTGTAATCCTAACTACTCAGGAGGCTGAGATCTGAGGATCACGGTTCAAAGCCAGCCCGGGCAGGAGAGACCGTGAGACTCCTATCTCCAATAAACCACCAGAAAACCGGAAGTGGCGCTGTAGCTCAAGTGGTAGAGCGCTCGCTTTGAGCTGAAGAGCTGAGGGACAGCGCCCAGGCCCAGAGTTCAAGCCCCACGACCGACAAAAAAAAAAAAAAAAAATGTGTTAGAAACAAATGCATGAAAGAAAAAAACATTTAAATACATATCTAAGGATTCATTTTCCTAACATCACATTATCTGACCTTTTCTGCTTGACTCATACATATACTAGATATTGCAAATAAGGGAAACCATGGGACCTATGTTTCTTTGGGCTTGGCTTACTTCACTTAATATAATTTTTTCCAAGCCTTTCCATTTCCTAACAAATGGGGAAATGTCATTCTTTCTGATGGAGGCATAGAATTCCATTGTGTATATATACCACATTTTCTTGATCCATTCATCTACTGAGGGGCATCTGGGTTGGTTCCAGATCTTAGCTATGGTAAATAATGTTGCAATAAACATAGTTGTACTGGTAGCTTTAGTGTGGTCTTGTTTGTAAACATTTGGGTAAATGCCCAAAAGTGGGATTGCTGGGTCATAGGGGAGCTCTATGTGAAGTCTTTTCAGGAACCATTTAACCACCAAAAAGCCAGAAATGGAGCTGTGGTTCAAAGTACTAGAGTACCAGCTTTGAGCGAAAAAACTCAGGGACAGCACCTAGACCCTGAGTTCAAACCCTAAGACTGGCACAAAAAAGAAAAGAAAAAGAAGACATATAATCTGGTACAAGTTGCTCAAAATGGATACTGTGACACATTCAGAATTATTCTGAAAGACTCAATTTTCCTAACTGCAGGACCTTCCAAGCTGAAAAATAATAACAATAATAATCATCATTGTGATTTCACTAAGAAATGCACACAGAATACAACAGTGCCCCCAGCCGGGGCTTTCAACACTCAACCTGCAGTGGTTTCCATGAGAGACTACTCTGAGAAAGCTGGGGTAGGGACGTGACACGCGAACTCCCTTTCTTATCCTCCTACCCATGGGAGCCTCTCCCCCGAGCCCCGTGCATGCTTTCCTGTATGTGTCTGTCTGCGCCACTGCTTACCATATAGCTTACCATATAGCTTATCATATAGCGTTGTCCCTGAGCTTTTGTGCACAAGGCTAGCGCTCTACACTTGAGCCACAGTGCCATTTTCAAGCTTAGTTCTTTGTGTGTGTGTGTGTGTGGCGAATTGGAGATAAGAGCCTTACAGACTTTTCTACCTGCGCTGGCTTTGAATGTTAATCCTTAAGACCTCAGCCTGCCCAATAGCTGGGATTACAGGCAGGAGCCATGAGATCTGACAGGATCTGGCATTTTCTCTAGAAATGTCCACAGAACTTGCAGAAGGGCGGATAGGACTGACTTGCTGAGTAATTATTTCCTTCTTTGTCCAACTCTGTGTCGGCCTTTTATGGAGTACTGCTGATTCCTTTAGCAATCAGAGATAGAAGTAATTCGAGCCCATCCTCCTCCCCGAGCTGACCGGTTTGCCATGGGTCCTCCAGCATCTGTCTCTGTCTCCACAGGAGGACTGGATCTCATCTTCATGCCAGGCCTGGGCTTTGATGAAGACGGCAACAGGCTGGGCCGGGGTGGAGGCTACTACGACGCCTACATCAGGCGCTGCCTCCAGGGCCAGGGGGAGAGGCCCTACCTCCTGGCCTTAGCCTTCAAGGAGCAGCTCTGCCCCCGGATCCCTGTGGGTGACCAGGACATGAGGGTGGACGAGGTCCTCTATGAAGACGCAGACACAGATGACAGCTCCGTGCCTTAGTCCCAGGACTGCAGACCTAGCCGCACAGCAGTGCCTTCTACCCAGTGTGCCTGCCCGCTCACAGCTCTGAAGTCAGGCGTGCTGGTTCACGCCTTTCATCCCAGTTACTCAGGAGGCTGAGATCTGAGGAGCCTACTTCGAGGCCAGCCCACACAGGGAAGTCTGAGAGACTCTTTGCTTAATAACCAAAAAGCTAGAAGAGGAGCTGTGGAATCAACTGGTAGGGCACCAACCTTAAGTGAAAAAGCTAAGGGACAGCACCCAGGCCTTCAGTTGAACCCCCAGGGCGAGCACAGAACAACAGTGACAGCAGCACAAACGGTGATTGTGGGCTGCAAATGTTTGGGTATAAGTGTGCGGGTCCTAACATTAAATTGTCTATGAAATCAGTGGAATGTGGGCCCTGGGATTAAAGTGAGGCTTTGGGTGTGTGGATCCCAGCGCACTCTCCTGGTGTGAGGCGAGGCTCTGGGCTTCGTGCGCTGTGCTCTGAGGTGAGTTTGTGCTGGGCTGGGCTCTGGCGAGGGGGTCACACGCTGTGGCGGATGCCATGTTTCCTCACCTCCTTTGAGCCCCTGTACACATGGGGGGATGCAGTGTGCATGCGCTGATCTTGCTGGTGTTTAGTGTGGGGACAGAGTTCCCTGGGGATTCTGTCCTATTTCATGAGGACTTTATTTGCCCAGCCAGAACAGCATGCTCCATACCAGCTCCTGCTGGTTCCTGGATGGAAGCTTCCTTCCTTTGTGTGTGCTGGCACTGGGGCTTGCACTGAACTTTGCACTCTTTTTTGTCTTTTTTGCTCAAGACTAGAACTCTACCACATAAGCCACAGCTCCCCATGTGACTTTTTGCTGGTCACAGATCTTCCTGCCTGGGCTGGCTTTGGACCTTGATCCTCAGATTTCAGCCTCCCAAGATTAAGACATGATCCACCAGTGCCTAGCTAAAAACTCTGGATTTTTAAAATTTTTGTGCCTGTCCTGGGACTTGAACTCGGAGCATGGGTGCTCTCCCTTAGCTTTTTTGCTCAAGACTAGTGCTCTGTCAGTTGAGCCACAACTCCACTTATGACTTTTTGCTAGTTAATTGGAGGTAAGAGTCTCATGGACTTTCCTGCCCAGGCTGGCTTTGAACCATCATCCTCAGATCTCAGCCTCCTGAGTAGCTGGGATGGCAGGCATGAGCCTCTGGTGCCTGACTGGATATTTCTAAAGGTTTATTTTGAGCAATATTCATGCATTGCTCCCTACCATCTTTCCCCTGACAGTGATGCTGCAGGGCAAGTAGGCCGGATGCACGTGTTCGCTCACCTCAGCCTGGAGAATGTCCTCTTGTCCTTGCCTGCAGACTGTCTGAAGTGCTGTCTGTGCCATGCGCTACCCTGAGCTCTGGGGAACCGCGCTGCTCAGCCTGCCCTCATTTCTGCAGTGGGAAGAGTGAGGGTTTCATTCCAGGATGCATTCTGTCTTTTCCTATTGAGAAAACCTTTAAAAGGTAGATGGACATTTGTTGTGATACACACGGTGGGGGGGAGGGGCAGCCGGGGGAGGGGGATGGGAAAAAGAGGATTAGTTATAAAGAAGAATGAAATAGTGTTTGAGAGAGAATTGTTTAGTGGGGTTGGAGGACTGGCTTGGTTGTGAGTCAATGTGTCAGATATTCAGTTTAAGTCCCAGTCTTGCACCTAAAAAAAGATAAGAGAAAAAGAATTATTTAGCTTTAAGAATGGAATTATATTGCTTGCAGGGAAATGGATCTAATGAGATTGTCATGTGAAGCAAAGTAAGTCAGGTCCAGGACAAAGATCTGCTAGGTGCTGTGGCTCATGTAATCTCAGCTACTCGGGTGGCTGAGATCCGAGGATCACAGTTCAAAGCCAGCCTCCGGAGGGACGTCTGTGTGACTCCTGTTAGCATTGTCCCCACCTCTGGCCCTCAGATCCACCCTCCAGCCCCACCCTGCCCTAGAGTTCCCGGCCATTCCTCCCCCTCCCCCACCTGCCCAAGCACCCACCTCACTTCCTGCCCCGCAGCCACCTGCCGCCTGGCTGGGGGCAGACCCCCACGTGCTCCCCTCCCTCTAACAAACCGTAGAATAACCCGTTCCTGTGCCTGCCTGGCCGCGGAGCCTAATAAACCCCCACACGGCTGGAAGAGGGGCCGTGGCTGGGGTGGTGGCGCGCCAGCCCGTCCGTCCCGGGCCCCGGGCCCACGGCGCTGGGCTCCCCGGGCCAGGCTTGCCCTCAGGATCAGTTCCTGCCAGACAAGATGTCCTCGCGGAGCCCTGTCGCCGGGGAGCCGGCGTCCCGCCCCGCCTGCAGCGGGGTCTCACCCGAGCCCCTCAGCTCCGCCGCCGCCTTCCGCCAAGGGCCTCCAGCAGTGGCTGCACGCCGACTTCCACGTGCCATGACAGCTTGGCTGACCAGCTGCCGGCTGCCTTCTTGTCCACCGGCTGCCTGTTCCCGCTCTGCGCATGCGACTCCCACCCAGGTGCAGCCCGCAGACACCTGCCTGTTCCCGCTCTGCGCATGCGGCTCCCACCCAGGTGCAGCCCGCAGACATCTGCCTGTTCCTGCTCTGCGCATGCGACTCCCACCCAGGTGCAGCCCGCAGACATCTGCCTGTTCCCGCATGCGGCTCCCACCCAGGTGCAGCCCGCAGACACCTGCCTGTTCCCGCTCTGCGCATGCGGCTCCCACCCAGGTGCAGCCCATCGTCTGTTCCTGCTCTGCGCATGCGGCTCCCACCCAGGTGCAGCCCGCAGACATCTGCCTGTTCCTGCTCTGCGCATGTGGCTTCCACCCAGCGCATCCCACAGAGAGCTGCTGTTTCCTGAAAAACCCACCTCGCAAGGGGAGCCACCTACCTCCCAGCACTTCTGTCCAAACCCACCCGGCCGGGTAGAACACTTGGCTTGCTGGTTCCACCAAGAACGAGATGCCTCTTTGGGCAGAGGCTTTCATGCTGTGTGTGTGTGTGTGTGTGTGTGTGTGTGTGTGTGTACACGCATGCGTGCACGCGAGCACACCAGTCCTGGGGCTTGAACTTGTGGCCTGGGTGCTGCCCCTGAGCTCTTTTTCTCAAGGCTCTTAACCCTACCACTTGAGCCACAGTTCCACCTCTGTTTTTCTTAATAATTTTTTTATTGAGATTAAGTGATTACATAAATTTCACAGTATTGTGGGATAGTAATACTCAGTTAAAGTCACAAATTTTAACCTTCACAAGGGCAATTGCATTATCATGGTCTATAAAGTTTGCGAGTTCTTTGAGCTTTGATAATACAACTAATTCTTCCACATCCAATGATATGTACATTTCTTCCTTTTGCTTAGTGTCAGCTGTTTCCTCTTTCCCTCTCATTCCCTCCCTCCCATTGCTGCCCTTGAGTTGCTTAGTTTGTTTTCATTCATGTCCAGTGCAGCTGATGGGCCCTTCTGTTGAATATTTTCCCGTTTCCCTGTCCTCTTCCTAGCTTCCCTCAGATGTGCATATGTGTGTATATATACATACATATATATATATATATATGTATACACACACACATACCATTTATGTGATGAATAGCATAGAGTCATTTAGAAATGATATGACAAACTGAGTGGAGGTCCTTTGTTTCTTGAGTCCTGTATACTTTGTCATATTGCCTTACATTTTGAATTTAACATCCACATATCAGGGAGACCATGTGCTATTCGTTTCTCTGATCTTGGCTTACCTCTGTTTTATATAGGTGATACTATACAAAGACACTACCTAAAGCACTATAGAGGAATGACAGGGAAAATAGTGCCACTGAATTGGAAGTCAATATTTTGACTTGACCTTCCCTGGTCTTTCCTCTGTATCTGAACTGTGTGCACTGTGAGGAGAAGCAGAACAAGTTACCATGTCATGGCCACTGATGGAATTTTCGAATCTTCAGGAAAAATTGGGATTCTTGTGTGAGCATCATGATAACTATATTAGGTAATGAGAGAGAGTCTTGCAATACATGTGCTGACAGGCAGCTAGAGAGGGAAGACTTGGGGTGTAAACTTGACTTAGTGACATAAATGCCACCTCTGTTTTTCTAAGCGGTTCATTGGAGATGAGAGTCTCACAGACTTTCCTGCCCGGGCTGGCTTTGAATTGCAATCCTCAAATCTCAGCCTCCTCAGTAGGATGACAGGCGAGAGCCACAGTGCGTAGCTTGCAACTCCTTTAAGGGTGATGGTCTGTACCCAGTACCTGTCAGCGTGGCAGCCACAATCCTCAGAATTCAGTCCCCTGAGTAGCTAGGATGACAGGAGAAGCTCACAAACTTACCATGCCTACGTGGGAAGAGAGTGGGCGTGGGGTGTGGTGGTGTCTATGGCCTAGGCAGCAGGTGTCCTCCAGAGGCCAAAATGCCCTGAGGCATTTTGGGTTGGGGGTGTGGGGGAGAGAAGAAGTTAAGTATACCAACTGAGAGTGAATTACTAAACTGAGGCACAGAGGCTCACTTAAGATCAGACGGAGGCAGCCGGCTCTGATGGCTCACACCTGTCATCCCAGCTACTCAGGAGGCTGAGATCTGAAGATTGTGGTTCAAAGCCATCCAGGGCAGAAAAGCCCTTGAGACTCTTATCTCCAGTGAACCACCAAAAGGTCAGAAGTGGAGCTGTGGCTGTGCCAGCCTTGAACAAATAAAGCTAAGCAAGAGCTGGAGGCGTTGAGTTCCAGGTCCCAGTACTGGCATTTGCATGTGATTGATAGCAGTCCCCCTGCCCATAGTAGCCGCAGGGGCCTGCGCCAGGAGCATGGCCCGAGGCACAGGAATGGCCTGCTGAGGTCTCACTTGTGTCCTTCTGTAGCACACAGCAAGCTGGGGTGTGGAGGAGGGAGAGAGGAGGGAACGAGGGAGAGGAAGGATGGGAGTGAGGATGGAGAGAGGAGGAAAGGAGGGAGAGAAGGGATGGGAGTGGGGAGGAGGAGGGAGAGGAGGGTGGGGAGGAGGGAGAGAGGAGAGAAGGAGGGAGAGGAGGGATGGGAGTGGGGAGGAGGAGGGAGAGGAGGGTGGGGAGGAGGGAGAGGAGGGTGGGGAGGAGGGAGAGAGGAGAGAAGGAGGGAGAGGAGGGATGGGAGTGGGGAGGAGGAGGGAGAGGAGGGTGGGGAGGAGGGAGAGAGGCACACAGCTTGTTTCTCAGCCTAGTAGGGTCCCAGTGCCCATTTCATAGACCACCGAGGCCGAGGCCTTGCCCCAACGTGAGCACCCGTGAGCCCGGCTCAGGAGTGCCCCGTCAGCCGGAGTGAGCAGGCACGGCACTGACTCCCGTTCCTCTTAGGAGCATAGCGGCTGCCCTGAGCCCTCGGGTCCTGGACCTGAAGCCTGTGCTCCCCAGGTCCCAGCACCCACAGAGTGGGAT